GTCAGAGACGCGAACTCTGAATGAGAAAAGGAGCGTTTCTGCCCGCGGGATAAAACCTGCACTTCTGTCTCTATTGCACACTATTTTTATCTCATCACGTTCACTTCGTTATGTTAATTCATGTTGATTCGCATCGCGCATCCCCTGTCAACATCGGCGCCTGTTAAAATCGATAACTATATGCAATTCGATTCACGAGGGTTAAGTGCTTGATAGTGGTTAGGCCGCGATAGGTTCATGCTCCATCGCGTTACAAGCTCCTTGCGAGACTCACCACGTTGCTAGTAATCCTTTGAACGATGAGAAAGGCGTGTCCGCAGAACGTCGAGATCAACGAACAAATTCGTACAATTCACCAAGCGTTAGTTCACGTTAGTAACTTGTCACACGTTCGCTCGCTCTTACGAGTGCCCCTTCGCTTACATCTTCACTGTACGCCGCGATACGAAGTACGAGCAACACATAGAAAGCAACGGATCAATCGTAAGTCGGATATTCTTCCTTCCCGACAGCTTTGATATTCTATCAATTTTTCACAGAAATCCGGAGAACTGTCAACGGTGTGGTGAACGAAGGAAACCGCTATGTCCTTCGATGTCACATTTTCAGCTATGCGCGTATGTCGCGTCTGGAGCCGTCGCAACGCCCTGCGTCGCTTTTATAGACCCGGCCGACACGCGCAGTCGTAGATCTGCGGGAAAAGGGGTATGGAACATCGATGCGAGGATCAAACATCCCTGTAATTTTCCAACGTTTTTTTCCCCTCCCAACGATTAAACGATACGATATTTCTTCTTTGCAAACAAGGTATAGATATCACTTTCTCCAGTTAGCCGGTAATTAAGGATAATTACATTTATTCGCTCACAGATGTTAACCCTTCTACTGCGTCGTTCTCGATCGTGTATTTTCTATCGTTAGGAGATTTCTCGTGGTTCTCTCCCAATACGCATGGATCATTATCGATCCTCTCTGATTTCTCGTCTCTCGACTTTATCGTTACAAATTCGAGGGAAAGTACGAGAAGTATTATGATTATACGCTGGGAATTTTCTTTGAATTTTCAACGTCAAATATTCTTTCATTCGATTGAGACTAAAGATTATGATCTCTTAACATGTTACCGTAGCCCTTTCGATGAATTTCAAAAATCTTGTCACGTATTTTCTTGCTTCGAGAGCGTAAATTTCGATCTTGAGACGAAAGATAAATTAACGATTTCTCCCCACTTCCTCCGTGTCGAGTGGTACCGTTCTTTCTCGTTAGCACGTGCAAAAGTAGCGATCTCAGGTTCGTTGTTCTCCGTTCCATCGGCGTAACAGTGTGCGCACACTTAGCAACAAAACGATGCCCAAGCATCGGTGGTACACGCGTATGCACGATATAATAGGCCGAATATAATAGTATTACCGATGGCCAAATAATACGCATACTCCTGAGGTGGAATTTAATTTAAACCAGAAAGTATTTTTAACATGTATGTCAAGTATACGATGTCCATAGGGATGGATCGTACATACCAGTGCAACGACGGCAATATCGAAGATATAAATAGAGAAAACCGTTACGATAGAAGTAGGTAATACGATGTATCGTGTAACTGTTCCGTTTCGACTCATTAGATCCGTAACACCTCAATCGTCGAGGCATTTTCACCTGCTCCTCGATCGGAGGATCGATGCGTTTCAAAAGGAGACTTTCTCTTCGTACGGTTGTAATAATTGAGAAACTTGTCATTAGACTACAACTAGCACCTAGTTTATAGTCAGGTGCTGGAAGCTAATTACAAGTATTTTTGTTTAAAAAAAAAAAGAAAAAAAAATTGAATAGATATCGAAGATATCGAGGCTAGAATATTCTTCCACTTTCTTTCAGAAAGAACAAACAAAAAAAAGGTTTAGGTAAACAAATGAAAAACTCGGTATTTTCATGGGTTCAAAGTTGCTTTATAAGCTTCATAGGTTCTTTATTCATATATAATAAATTAAATTAAAGTATAAACACTCAATACTACGAGAACGTTAGAAGACAAGTAAAATTAGTCTCGTGTATAAAAAATTTGATCCGACGAGAGTGATTGATCCACAGCGTTGTCCTTTTCGTCTTCGAAACAGGGGCAAAGGATTCTCATTCGGAAGAAGACGAACACAGAGTGTACTCTGAATAAGTGTCAGTGTCACAGCAGGAACAGGAACTGTGAGAACAACAGGAATCATAGGAAGACGATTCGTCAGAGTAATCTGTATCACTATCGTTATCTTCGGTACTGGAGTACGAACATTCTGTAAGGAACTAGGTAAATTGTACATCGTTCGAAAGTTATTGTTACGCACATAAAGATCTTTTTTAAAAGCAACAGATTACCTGGCAAATAACCCATCTTTTTGACGATGCGAGTGACGTGATGACTGAATTCCTCCATGGCCCGTTCTGCTTTTCTCTCATGCCGTCGTATGTGTCTTTCACGATGTTCCAACAAACGTTTCTCAAATTTTCCAATCTGTTTCCCATCTATTGCAAACACAAACGATTACACAAGCGAAACATAACGAAACAGTCCTTCGCGGCTGAATCTGCGAAAATAAGGACCGACGACTCGTTTACCTATCTTTGCCGTTTTATCGTCCTGTTTCTTGCATTTTGATTTTGATTTTTTATTCGTCGATATTCCCGATGCCTTCTTATCTCCGGATCTCTTCTCTCTCTTCACTTTCTCCGTCGTTTTATGCTCGCGTTTTACTTTTGTTTTCTCAGCCACGGTTTCATCGTGGCCATTTTTTGAATCCTTTGTCGCGGAAGTATCTTTCCGCGAAGAAATATTATTATTGCTCGCGGACGAGTCTGTTTTCCTTGCTGTTTTTTCGTTGCGTTTCTTGCATTTCGACTTTTCCCCCTCGTCCGTCGTTGTTTCTTTATTTTCTGAATTCGAATCTTTCTCCTCGTTCCCTGGATTTTGACCCTCTTTCGTTCTCCCCGTCGTCTTACGCTTGCATTTCGCGTCTGTTGTTTTACTGTCGTTGCTCTGAGCCACGAGTTCGCAGTAATTATTGTTTATATCCTTGCATTGCGAACATTCCACGTATGAATTTCCTGCGCAGTGCTTAGAGACATGATTATTTACGGAAGAGTCTTCCTTCGACGTCGAAGCATTATGCCACGAATTAGTGA